TACTGGGTGTTGCCCGAATGCCGGTCCTTGGCTCTAGCAACCTGTGCTTGAGGAGCAGACCAACGTGTAAAAAAATAGCCTAAAAAGCAAGGATAAAAATACTGGCGTCCGTGTGAAGCGTGGCGTCAAAAGATACCAATGCGATGCCTGATGTTCTAATGCTGAGCCAAGGGGTTGTTGGAGAGGTTTAAAATAGGGGCTTGTGACTGGCAAGAGTAAAGCAGAAATTTAGAAAGTGTGTGCGTGAAGTGTGCCCTGTAGAAATATTAAGGATTTTCTCATGTCGTTTGTATTTTCGTAGCACAATTCTATTTGGTTGAGTTACAAAACTGCAACTTGGCCAGGAATTGCAGAAATTAGAATTCTTTAACCACATTTTTTCGAGCAGGAGGAACCACACAGAATGCAAAATGTAGAGAACATATTTAGCAACAGGAGACATACAAACCTATATCTGGGGGGTTGAGATGAAATACTACAATCCACTGTTTTCATTTACAGTCCATTGCCTTCACCCTAGGGCCACGTTATTAGAGATGCGCAGGAGAATTAGCAAGTCTCTCCCCTCGGCTACGTGCGAGCACACCGCTTCAGAGAGCAGTGCGGAACGCCTGCCCCCACAGCTGGAGGACCACAAGAAGATGATGAAGGGGAGACGACACAGTTAATTAAATGTATTCTTCAACACAAAACCGTCTCAAAACCAACACAAAAAAAAGCCCATGGAGGGGTTGCCAACACTGAAACCATTTCCAGTAAAGCTTTATCAGAGATAATTCAGCATATTTCCATTATTTTATACTAAAATATATATCAGTTCCTCCATAACATTTTCATAACATGAAAAATCAATTATGTTTACATATTTATTATAATCTACATATTTTCCATAGCAGCTTTTTTCCACACAATAAGATTAAATATATGCACCAAATAATCAATTAAGTCCAGTAAAAAGACTGGTTATAAGATTAAATAAGTGAATTTATTTACGGTACTGCAGATCTCATATTGCCACCATAGAGCAAACAAATCCTACAAATCCTAAACAGAAGCATGACTGCTGACCAGGGTCCCTTATGGTGGTGGTGAAATCGAAGAAAAAGCATTGGGGAGAAGAGGTTTGGTCTCCCAAAACACAGATTCATTAATAAACCTCCTTTATCCATCAAGGTTTTTCATAAACCCCTTTAATGAACACATCATTTCAAACCAGGAACATCCCCCAATCAACCAAATAATCCCCCCTTTATTTAAAATACAAGCCCCACAGTTTTACACGTATTAATTCCAAATGCTTTCTAATCCCAACAACAAGATGACTGATTAGAAGCCTTTGTTGACTTTTTAGCACAAAGTTATTAGTCTGCAAGTAAGCCTTCAAATCCATACAGACGTTTTAGGCGCAACAGTGCGGTTTTGCACACTACACAGGCACAAGTCTCTACTCCCTCCGACAGATACTTCACAGACACTATAAAAAGCAGTAAAAAATTGCGTCTGTCCTGCTAGACTTCATTCCAGAAGAGAACCTGGACACCATCTGACATTTGTGGGTAATGGCATACAAGAAATCTGTTAGGAGCACTGCAAATTGATTGTGAAAAGAGTTAATCAAGTTCTTTGAAAGATATTTCAGTGCCTCAGTTCGAATTTATTGGGTTAGGATATGACAGATGGAAAAGAGCAGAAAAATCTGTAATTTGCAAATCTGCAATATCAAAGCCATTCCTTACGTCAGCTTTGTTTAGAGATGCAAACACAACAGGATCCATGTTGCATGTCTGGACAAAAAAAAATTTTTTTCTCCCCCCCTCCCCCGGTAATGGTAAGTAATACTTATTTCACTATTCATACATTCAACTCTTTACTATGAGGAGTTATGTCCAAAAATTTTGCACACAGATACATTTGCCTCAGGTATAACCATCATAATTTTCATTTCCAACTGACAGTTTAGATTATATCCTACTTACAGTGTAAAAATATTAACGCTATTAGAATAACTTTATCTAAATTACAATATAGACTTTTCAAACTGCTTATCGTGTCTTTATAAAGACCTTTATGATGCCAGCCAAAATCAAAGCATTTACACCCAAAAGACTGCTTTTAGGTGAGCTCATGTTTGGTCACTTTTCAGATGACTGAACACTATAGTAAACAGCTGCTAGGACACTGTGCTCCCTTTTTACAAAGGGGGACTTGGCAGTCCCTTTAAAGCCACAAGAAACCTTGCAAATCTTCCTCAGAGGGTTGTTTATTCATATTCTGTGCAAAAAGTGATCTGAAACCCCTCCCCCCTTTTTTTTTTTTACACTTTGAGGAATTTGTGTGAAGCACAGTTTTCACAGCACAAATTATGCAGAAATAACTAGTATCTCAACCATGAGTTAAAAAGAATTACAGAACATGTATTTAGTAGTAAAGCAACCTGACGGCTTAAAGCTGCAATATTCTTCTCACAGGGCAAAAGTGTTCAGTGCTGTGGTCGGCCTACAGGGGAACCAGGCTTCCTGCAGAGCTTCCACCCAAGGCAAGCATAAATCTTCTTCCACTTACCAGCCAACAACAGACCCCCCCAGCACTGCTGAGCACAGCAACTGTTCTAGCAGTTCTGGTAAGCGTCCCATATTTACTTACCTTGCAGTGACAAAGCGAATTAAAGACAAACAAAGCCCACAAGATTTAACCAAAGGAAGATGTATAGCAGGGAAGAAGAAACACTGCAGCTTCAACCCCAAACCAGTGTCGCAGTCTACCGTCATAAGCTCTAGACATCATGCTGATATTCCCAGCCATAACGAACAGGCTGTTTGAAGTCTGTCGCTTCCCCCACTCACTTTGCCTTGACTGGGGGGGAGGGATGGTGGTGATGAGTTTAGCAGAGTCCACAGGGGAACATCCATCAATGAAAAGCATACAGCAGCAGTAAGATGGTACAGATGCCAATAATGCCACCTAAGATGAGAGAATCTCGTCGTTTCCGAAGGTTGATCCTTTGAATCAGGCTGTTCACTGCTGGAAACCGATCTGTAAGGAGTCTGAGTCAAGGTCATATCAGCAAACAGCATCTTCACTAACAAGCCCCAAATTCTGTAGGTGGAAATCCCAATACTGCAAGAAATGCAGAACTACTCCCAAGCTGGAGAAAGCAGATGCAGTAAAAAACCCCAATGGATGGTTAGCAGGATTACAACTGTACTTCAGTACTAACAGACAATCAGAGCAAAGAGAGAACTGAACAGCTCAGAATTCACATTTACACAGCATGCATCACCTGATCACCTAAATTACCAGCATTTGATGTACTTTAATCTCCAATATGTAAGGCTTAGTTACTTTTAATAACTGTGTTTAAATAAGAATAAAAAAAAAATGGGGCAGCTATATAAAACATCTGTGGAATTTATTTAATCGAATTCTGTTACTGGTGAAGGGAACAACCAACGGCATTTGACCGAGAAAATCATGCACGTTGCATGACTATGCACTGTTCCAGTATAGCACATAAGGAAGAACTCCTCCTACTGTAAAATCATAAAGATGTAAATCTATCTTTTAATGTACAAAATACAATTGTCAACAAGATAATAACTTTTAGAGCTTCATGTCTTTGGAACCACAAATCTTTGAAGGCCAAAGCTTATTGAATTTTTTTTTTGTTCTTGCCAGTTGCTGAGATTTGTAATGAAATTTATGTGTTACCAAGATACATCTCTTCAGGATGTAATCTGTCTAATCAAATAATGCTAATGCTGTTCTCTGGGCCCTTATAGAATCATAGAATCGTTTAGGTTGGAAAAGACCTTTAAGATCATCAAGTCCAAATGTTAACCTGGCACTGCCAAGTCCACCACTAAACCATGTCCCTAAGCGCCACATCTGCACATCTTTTAAATACAGGAAACGATAAGTTGGAAAACAACAAACATGCATGACTTGACAGTCCAGCACATTCTTTAGCCACGACCACATGAGGAGAAACCACCAACCCAAAATCTTAACATCTACAAGACTGTGACAGACAAGAGGTTACTTGGGTCATAAACACTCTTAGCTGTAAATCATAACAAGCAGCAATGCATGCTGAGCTTCAGTTCTGGCCAGTCTTGAAAGCAAAAAGCAAGAGGTAAAATGAACTTATACTTTAATGAAAACATACAGCAGGGAAGGCCATACAATGCCGTTTCAGATCTCTACTTGAAAATTAAGCTACATTGATTTATAGGTACTATTCAAATTTGAGTAAAAAGAACTTATTCACCACATTCATCATTAAGATGCTTCAGTCAGAATATCAAGTGCAACTGGTTAAAAAATGGTCTGTTTGTCACTGATGACGATACCACTACAGGTTATACAGCCATCGACATTGCAAAGCATTTTGATCCCCAAATGAGAGTGAAAAACTGTACTATATCTCTTCTTATGCACTGCAAATTTTTAGGAAAGGATACTAGCCAGGGTATTCATCTTGCTTTGTATTGACTTCAACATCCCTCTCTGCGAAGTCATATTTTCTTTAGTTGCCATGGCAATGCTGGAGAAAGAAAGAAAAAAAAGAGTGGATCAAGTTGTTGGTGCTAAGAATAAACTACAGCTAAAACAAGAGGAAAAGCAAAGCAGGCAACGCTTCTTTAGAGAACAATGAATGAGGTGAACATGAATGAAACCACATTTTTTCCATTAATCTCTATCCTTTACACTTAAATGATTTCTCTTTTTATATAAGCCATTAACAATTGAAAACGCTGCGATTTCTTGAAACAGGCAGGGGTTTGGCATATCTCCCCCAGCCTCAAGAAAAAATGGTACCACATTCCAAGCAAACCTAAAGGTACTCTTCTGGCATACATTTTAAATTTAGAAGTTTGTTTAATCACAGAAGCCCCATACTTACTTTCACTCTAGAGAGCATATGAAATATCTTGTCTGCCATCAGGCTATGACGGCTACAGAAGCATTAAGCAAATAAGAGCTGGCTCACAATTAAAAATCAATTTGCAAAGCGAATGCGCTGGTTGAGAGGAGATGGAAGTGGTGTTTGAGACCCGACACAGCTCACGGAGCTTTGCACAGAGGGTTTCTGGACAATGAAGCTGGGACATGCAGTCACCAGGTCTTTGAAGAAATTTAAACACAACAAAGTGTTGAGTTCTACTCTGACTCAGGATTATCACTGTCCTCTGACGCCAGGGAAGTGGGCAAAGCTTGGATTCTCCTGCATTAACATCTCTTCCCAGCAAGTCCCACCTGACTTTTTCCGTAAGCTGGAGTTGAGGGAGGTGTGTATAATGAAATCATATCAAATGATGCTTCCATCACAGCACAGATAAAACACATTTTTGAGCTTTGGTCCTAATTAAGAACACAGTTCATGGATATGTAAGTTTTCATACTCTTTTTATTAATACACTGTCCAGCCGTATGCACTTTACCCAAATATAAGGGCAGAATACAGGTGAATATAAAACAGAATTTCTCATTTCATATCTAATACATTCTGGAAGTTGGAAAAAAGCAACTGTGCTCTTAAAAATAAGATGTGTAAATGAAGAGTTTAAAGAACTACTTAGCTGACAAAATTTTTCCTCCATCTTAAGTTTCTCTTCAGCTTATAAAACAAAGATTTATAGGATGGAAAATGAAAGGGTAGGCTACTACTTGTAGCCCCAGGTAGTATTTCACAGAGCGACTTCGAATGCAATAGCTTTGTCAAGACAAACTGCACAGGCTCATTTATATCTAGAGAAACAGTATATAAAAGTTTAGGCTCTGGAGATACGGTGCTTAAGAAGGAACAGTATGACAAATACTGCTCTCCTTGGCTGGCGTGCATTTCAAAAATAAACAAAGTAGGACATAAATACAACACAGCTGGATAATAACTCAGAAAACGACATCTGTATTGCTGCTGACTATGTCTACATGAATAACAACGATTAAAACAAATTCTTGGACAGGTTTGTGAGCCTTAAATATGGAGGGAAAGTGTTCTGGAAGAATAAAAGTTAAGTGGAACAACACAATACAACAGATACAAATATGAGAAAAGGGAACTAAAGCCGTAATTTCAGAGAACAGACGGGAAAATGCTTCTTTCGCCCAATACAGACATCCACATCTTCAAGAGCATTTTATGCTTGCTCACGCTCAGTGTCTGCACACAGACACGATGCAAAAATCACAGCTAACGTGAGCATCATTTCTAAGGAGGGGCAGGTACACAGCACCAAAACAACCAACGAAAGCCTAATATTGTTCTGAAGTTCAGCAATATAAACTGGACGTTGCATTTTACATAAAGCCTTAATGTTTACTGCTGAACTCTCCGAAGGCACTTGCTCAATGCATCTGGTTCTCAAGCACTGTTCTCTACTGAATTCATCTGGGTTTCAGGGCTCTGGGCTTATCTTGCTGTAACAGTTAAAATGTTGAAACGTCATTTGTCCAGATATTAGCATTAAAGTACATGGATTGAGCTGGCATTTCAGTACTGGAAGGTGATTAAAAGGACCTTTATCTACCTTAGCATATCTTTCCAGGTAAATCTGGTAGGAAAAGTCACACCCACCCATTATATTTATACACTTATTAAACATAGAACTGGCACGCCTGACATTTTTATAACAAAGGCCATTCGATACAGTTTATTTCAAGTTTCTCTCTGAACAAAGCAATGTCTGGAATGAGCAGCTCTGGATCATCTGATCATCTGGCTTCCCTACGAGGACACTACAGCCAGCATCACAAGAATAGCTTGCAAAAACCAGCAGAGCCAAGCCTAACAACCCTCCTTCAAGCCTTGCAGCGAAAGGGCGGTATCACAGTTCACAAACACCTTAAAGAAGAAAACAGCCCAGATCGATGATCCCTGAAGTACTGCTGGAGCAGTGAGTTCCTTCGGGCTCCCTTCCATTATATCTGCCTACTCCATCTCAAGTAGCCCTTGATACAGGATCTTCAGCCTTCCTATAATGTGCCAGGCAATCTTTAAGAAAAAGAAAAAAAAAAAGGAAAAAAATCTGCTCCCACCCATGCAGGTGGAGGCTGCCTTTTCCAACTCTGCTTTTGCCCATAAAAACTAAGAGCTCACCAAGCCAAAGCCCGAGTGTTGTAAGTGGTATGATTTTGTCTTTAGCAGTAGCAGAATACCTTGGAAAACAAGAAAAGTTCATCGCACAGATGTATGCAAGCTGTAGGTGATGGAAGGGCCAGCCTATGGCCCTTATAGCTGTCAGGTCACAGAAAAGACTCTTCCAAAAGCTCTGTACAGCAAATTCTTTTAAATAGAATAACGTGCATTGACAGGGCAGGTCAATATATTATTTTAAGGTTTTATCAGCATTCTGTAAACTTGGACATACATCAGGGAATTGGGAGTTTATCAGTCACAAAGCAAATACAAACAGTTTGATAACATGTAGGCAAACCCCTCACATTTTCAATGAGCAGCTCTGTATGAACAGATTTAACATTTCAATACTAAGTTTTGAAATATTAGAATTTTTTTTTTAAAAAAGAAAGGTTCAGGGCAGAACTAAGAAAAACCTTCAAGCATTTTTATTTGCAGCCGGCTATTTAGCATTTTTTTCTTTTATATTTTTAAGTGCCAAATCTGCACAAAGCGAAAATGAAACTCATGGTTAACTGGAAGTAAAAGGGCATGCAGTCACATCCTTGGTCTTTATAAAGGGGTTGCCAGAATCCATTAGCCAATGCTCTTTGCTTCTGCAAAAAGAACAGAAGAAAGTCTGCAAAGTTTCTCCTCTTCGACTGTACAGAACTGCCCCTCAGCACATGGCGTGCGCTTGCTCCTGTGGATATAACTCATCTAAGCCAGAAATTTAACTTATTTATTGGACTGCATGGGCAAGTCTTTTTGGGACTAAAAGTACAAGAAAAGGAAGTGAAAATTAGATTGGAGGAGGAGAAGAAAACAAATTGCATCATTGCCTACCCCAACAGCGCATGAGTATAGAAAGAAAAACATCTAAGAGAAGGAGTTAACAGAAATTCTGAGCAGAGAATAAACAGCTGTATATCAATATAGAAAAAGCACTTCATCAAGGGCTGAAAAAAGGGACTACAAAATCAGAACAGTAAATACATCAAATGGTATCACATGTGAGAAGATACGGCACGTGACAGATTACTTCAATTTACAAGCCAGCACACAGTTGTTTTGGTTTTCTAAAGCAAAAAGCCACAAGCTCACAAAACCATTACATTTGCTGTTGAGAAGAGCACTCAGGAAATTCTGAATGACTAGGAACCAAGTTGGGAAAAGATTTCCTAGCCGCACCCAGGCAAGCTTGCTCAGTAGCCTACAGCTTATCTGACACCCCCATGCTGCCTCGATACTTCTCCAGATGAAGTTTTAATACAGCATTTCTCAAAGCACTCCTGAATTAAGCCACATGTTTTCATAGGATGCATCCAATGACTCATTAAGGCATCCATTAATTTACAGAAGTGAAAACACAAGATGATTGCCAGGATATAAAGTGTTCCTGAGACACTTCCAAAATGCCTTTGGAAATAATTATTAAGGATTATCATCAAACACAAAGTTCCTGCTTTAACATCTAAGGAGTGGAACTGTCCATTTCATATAAAAAGGCAGGATATACTGTTTAAGTTTAGATATTACAAGATTGGAACCTTCTTCATTTCTTTTCCCCGGTATTTTGATAAATTTAGCTCAGTGGGCTAGGTTTTACTGAAGGGCTCTGAAGCAAAGAAATAACTGTAGAGATAACCACTTTTAATATGATATGGTCTAGTAATGAAATGTGATTGTGAGATCCATGAGGAAGAGTTTAACTGGATTCTAACTACCATTAACAAGTCAAAATTCAAGTAAAAAGCACCGTTCTTCATGTATAATTATAATCACCCAAAATATGAGCTGGCTTACCTAAGCCTTTATATCTGTAAAGGAGACTATTAAATTTAAGCGCTACCAGAAAACACACAGCTCCTGGCGACTGGTCTGCTGATTGGGCTTGTCCTCATATCCTTCATTAGACAGTTTTGGTTTCATTCCCGTCCCTAACATATGCTCACTGACATACTGTTGCCATTTCTCCACTAACAAATACATTTTTAAAAAAATTAATCATATTCTTCCCATTCACAATATTGGCCCCATTTAGATACTTGACACCATAATTTCCCCAGATCAAGAACATGTTTTCTTACGTTCTGAAACTTCCACACCATGTTTATGATAAAAGATTAAATGCTTCTTACGGGAATCAAGATGACCCTGATTTAACATTTCATTTGGAAACTAGCATGAACTATTCTCAGTGTTGCACTGGCTTGAACCACTACAGTTGGGTGTAAACCAAGTTTCTAAAACCAGATGGTATTCTGCTCTCTATATTTAATATTAAAGCACTGCTGAAGTACAACATTAAAGATTGCTGCACTACTGGAGAAATCTCTTCTAGGTAAGACCCAGATCACAGCCACCAAGAGCCCACCCATCTCTTCCACAAATCAGGAATATCTCAAATTCCTGTGCTTGCAGCCACATTTCCTCAAAATTTCACTTACATTTCAAGTTTGTCCTTCAATGTTCAGTAGCGCTATGGGTAAGCAAGCACCCAAATTTCTCTTCAAAAGTAAAACAACTGATATTTGTACGGAGTTTGCAGTTTTTGCTGGCATGAAAAAGTACAAAGTAATAAACATTTCCAGCCATTATCACAGTCAAACTAGTCTAACATGCAGAGATACACTTTTAATGCTGTTTGACTTGGAAGCAAAGTGGTTTTACCATAAAAACCTAATTTTTAAGCTGTTGGGTATTTTCGCCCCACATAGCAGCAATGTACATACAGTGTATTATCAAGTGAAAACATACCAAAAAGTCAACTCCTTATTTCATCCATTGAGACAGCTCAGTCAAATCTACATTGATGAAGGACTAAAACAAAGCTCTAAAGGAACAAGACATGTTTTTGAAAATCAAGTAATTCATGTATTACTGGAACTTCTGCTTCGTTTTGTACTCCATGAATCATACTTGCTCATTGAAATTCATGACAACATCTATGATTAAAGGAATGGCCTCTGTGACTCTGCATAGAAATGCAACCTCCAGTTTTAAATTGGTAAAATTCTGATTATATCATTTATTCTCTGCATATACACACATACACATATATTTGTATCTATAGATACACACATGTGTGTATATGCATACACATGCAATCTTTCAAATTACATTAAAGGTTATTGTGTCTTTTCACGAAGCCTAGGATGAAAACAAGAGGGAGCATTTCCCCAGAAATGAAAGTGATCTTGCCTAGACGTTCTGGCAGGCAGGGCTCTTTTGAAAAAAGTTAAGGCTCAAAATCTAATTCATGCCTTTCCATTCTGTAAAGTCAAGATTCAATGCAAGTGATTTTTCCACTTTTATTAAATCCTAATTATTACCTAAAAAAATACCCCAAATATTTAAGGAGATTTTTTTTTTAATTAAATCTATGGGTTTGATCTGGCTTCAGAGTGGAAGTGGAGCAGTCCAAGCTGTTAATATAGAAACACTGACCAATCAGCCTGAATCAGGCCTCAGAATCAGTCTTACAATAAAATCCTAAGAAATTGTCACACTGTACATGCATAACTATAAAAAAAAAATTTAAACTGAGCCAACCTAAAAATATAAAGTTGTTGGAAAACAAGAAATAAATCATTTGCTATTTTGGAGAAGTGATAATGTTTGAAAATGAAAACCTGAGAACACTAAACATATTAAGCAAAATCCATGCTTATATTTAAATCTGGCCAAGAGAAGTGAATGCTGTTCCAAAAGAACTGCAGTACAAAGTATCACATCCCACTCATTTCTGGAAAGAAATATGCTGCAGTAAGAACCCATGTCACGTAATTCATTTAAAAATTGATTAAAAGTTCAGTCCTAACAAAACATCTGGAATGACAGCCCTACTCATCACGTTTGCTACTGCATTATTTCAGTTTAGGTGCCCATATATTCTCTTGCACGTGTTTGCTCCCATGGAGGAACCACACATGGGAAGAGTCAGGCTCTGCGCTTCTTCGGTTCACTTCTCTACGGGAAGTTAGAGCAAGGGTTTTACAATTAGTGCTGACTGTCGCATCCCTGGCAATGGGGTCACCAGTATTCAGCTTGTCAACAAAAGCCTCTGCATGCACAGAAAAATTCTTGCCAGTGTTTAGAATCACTGCTTAATAACAACCCCTAAAAAAATAAAAAGCGATGTCTTAACTTCCTGAATTACACCCAAATAATGAGTAATGAACTACAGCAGATGTAAACCTTGGAGACAGAGCAGTATTAGTAGCCAGAATAAGCTAATTACATCTCGCTTCACGCAAGGAATCTGCATCCAAACAGCTTCCCCTGCACAACTCCCTCTTTTACGTGGTTTACAACAGACAAAGCAATTGATAATCAGCAGTTGGGTAAATTTCTATCTGGTAAATTCACTTAAACTGCAGCAGAGCTTACCTGCTGATATTCATATCAAACCTGAACACTTGCAATTACTGGGAATAACAAGAAAAAAACCAAAAAAAAATCACCCTGGTTTCAACAGTGTTGGAATTGAATTAAGATGATAAATGAAATTACATTGCCTGATCAATGTTGTTACCAAAACAAACTCTTTTTCTACAAAAAAAAAAAAGTAGAACATTTTTGGCAACAACTACAACAAGAAGTTCATTTACTACAGATAATAAATGGTGCAACAAGGAGCGCGGAAATCCAGCCTCTTGAAAAATCAAAGTTCATTTATTAAGAGAAGGAATGCTTTCAGCAAACAGCACCAAGGAGCTCTGAACCAAGGCAGGTGGTAGGGAACACCGCATGAGAAGCTGTCACTGTGGAGGTAGCCGAGCTGTAGTCAAACCACAGGACTGCAGCTCATGCAAGTGAAACTCAAAGCAGTTTTAAACCAGCAAGGTCACTTACTGATAACCCCATGGAGCTTCTGAGTAGGCTCAGAACGGATGGAGGAACCTACGTTCCCTTACACAGGTCAATCGACACAGCGGTTCACTGATCACACATACACGTACTCTCAGCTTCTCTGATGACACATAAACCAGACGCTAGGCAAAGAGCTCCAATGATAAAATACAAGACGTTTTGCAGGATATTAAGCTTAATAAATCACCATATGCTGTTTAACGCTCTAGTTACTGGAGTGGCAGCACATTCAACAAATTCAACAAACAGACTCAACAAATACTGAGCATTTTTATGAGATGGAGAAGTAGGGCTACAAGCATGGCAATAAGGGAGAAGGCTTTTAATGAGGAAAGGACTAGAACCCAAAGTAAAACAAACATTCACAATAACTGCTAAGTTTGTCAAACACCTTCATGAGGCTGTGGTGAGATTATATCCACATTTTCAGACATTATTATGCTGACCAGTTCTGCTCCATCACTGCACATTAATGTGGTTTAGCACATTAATGTGATTTAACACATTCTTTACCACGTTAATTATACTGAGTCTACTGTATGTACTTAAGCTAGCCAGCCCTTAATGGACGTAGAGCCTTGCTGCACCTCTAATTACTCTTCTTGAACACTTATGCCAGTACATGCATTATCTGAAAACATATCTTGCTTGCTTTCTTCCTTTTTTTTTTTTTTAAAGCAATAATCTAAAATTTTAAACCATTAAGTCAGGCACTCTGAATTATTGGTTTGCAAAATCCCAGAGTTCAATGGAAGATTGGGAAGGGCACAGATGATAAAAATTTATGATGCTACTGTTCTAAAATTTTTAGATCATTTAGAGAAGGTATCACTGAAGTATTTGAACCACATAAAAACCCAAAAGATAAATAACTATACAACAGCAATAACCTCTCAAGCCCTTGTGGTAAAAGCCCTTACCTGTATCAGCTGCACAGTAGGGTGCAGAATACATTGAAGGATTACAGAAAATGATGCTGAAGACAACTGTCACTACGAGAAGAAACAGCTTGACTACTGGAATAGCCCTCAACAGCTCAGCCTGGGATTCACTCTGCTCTATCACTCCCTTAGTTTTTGTAGGGGCTAATTCATCTTTGAACAGAAACCCACATTTTGTAAACTAGGATGAATAAAATATTTAAGCAACACCATTATGTCAATGTTGAACAGGGGAAAAAAAAACCAAACCAAACCCTGCACCACCATTTCATGGTAATACTGCTTATGAGTTGTAAACAATGCAGTTATTGTATAAACAAAATGACTGATATCTTTGGACACGATTCAATGTAAACACTGATTGTACAGAAAATAATGAAAATTAGTAAGTTCTTTCCTACCTTATTGTTTCTTCTATCAGTCGATCTGAGCTGAAAGCCAAAAGAAAAAAATGAAGTTAAAAAAGGAACAAGCTGTAATTATTATTTTAGCTTATTAAATCAAAGATCTCCACAATATAATCCTTAACAAATTTGCCCTTAGAATGCCTTATTTCAGGATGTTGTCACTTTTTGCCACTACATAGATTTGGTATATATGAGAGCCTCTGGAGAAGATGCACATAGCGTCCTCTAGAGCAGCATTCCCTAACTGTTGCAAGAGTAGATGCCCAGAGCACATAAAATACCAAGAAGACAGAAAAAGGGGAACGGGCTCCATGATTCATGGCTAATTAATGTTAACTGAGCCTGATGTGTACCAGGAACACCACAGTTTGGAAAGGAGTAATAAAGAAGGAAGTACCTATTTTTTTTCTGCTTTAATCCTGGTCATTCCTGCCCACCTGCTCAAAAAAGCCCCAATTGAAAATAAAAGCTGAGGCTTGGTTCCAGGTAATAACATCTCAAAACTCTGCTTCAGAGCTAGTTTACCAAACACTGTTTTATGGTGGTTAACGAGGCAAGCTCTTTCTGTAGTAATACCAGCTGGATGAGAATTAAGTGATGCTTATGGGGAACAGAATACACGCCATCTGTAAGAGAAAGACCTTGATACCACGTGCCCCTTCCCCCTCACTGCCACGCAGTAATCGAGTTTCTGTGTAGCACCGCTGGGAAAAGGACAGCCTAAAATACAGCACCAGAGAGAGAACACTTCATTTAAAAAGGGATGTGCGAGATTAAGATGGCAAACACGATCCTCAGAAGACTTGAGCAATTTCTCTTTTTCTGTGCTCAACTTGTTATAGGCAGGTTTTTAATCACTGTTTTACAGCCAATTATGAAATCCTAGAAAAACATATCTTGTTACAGCAATCAATATCTCAAATGCAACACGGACAAAGAATAGGTGACTGCATCCCTGCTTCCCATATTGCAGAAGCAATGATGCATCCCTAGAATTGCTCCATTTACCCCGCAGATTTACACAAACTCTTGTAGAATAACAGGAAAAAAATGTTAATTTGCAGTTTAAGAAGGAAATCAATCTGACAGAAGTTTTAGGTCGTAATGGATATTGCTTCCAGTATTAAAGTAGAATTTGTTGCTGCCAAACTAAAAGGATTAATAGACACTGAAAGGACGTGACCATCTTCATCTTCCAGCCTCATTGTGTTTTGCCATCTGAGGAAGGGAAGGTATCAACAGTACAGCACAGTTCTGCCTCTGACTCAGCCGGAGATGCCCGATTTGGAACTTTTCTTCTACCCACAGAAATTCTGGAGATCCCCCCGCACCTCCAGCTGGAGGCACGGAGAAGGAGCACGTTGTGCAGCGTGCACGCGCGTGTGTAAACTGCTCGGGGCGGGGGGGTGGTGGGGTGGAGATGCTAACAGAACGTCCTTATTTGTCTGTGAAGAGGAGTGAAAACACCAGGGTTGCTATTTCAGTCTAGTCCATGGCTTGAAATATGGAGACAGCACACAGAGCACTAAAAATATTTTCTCCGATTTTAAGTTGAGAGGGACTCAACTGGGGCAGCAAACGCTGAAAACACTGGAACTGGAACGCTTCTTTCTGCTCCCAAACCAAAGCCACACGCCAAAGGTTCACATCAGTTGCGAGTTCTTAGGTTGAATCAAACAAAATCATTTGCATTCACTGTGTGGTACGTATTACCACTGGCACAGAGAAGTAAAACACCATAGTTAGGTACACAAAGACACGTAAGCAGGCTTAAGTCTCACAGCATCTGATAATGTCCCCAAGGCAAGCAGGAGAAAAAAGCGATGCGTTAAAGATTTCTGTGATTGCTGCTTCCTAAAGACACAAAATTCAACTGCAAATGTGCCTTCCATGCATAGGTAGACTCTAACAGACAGGTGTATGTGGGCAGCGCATAATAAAATAAACTGCAAAGCCATCAGAAAACAGTCTGAAAAGCAAGAACGGTGCACACGAATGTATCACTTCTAAAAAGTTTTTGGGTCTGTTTTTGGTTTTAATTTATTAACAACAAAAAGATATCAAGTGCCTAGCTGGAAATAAGTCAGACTTATAAAAATTCTGTAGAACAAATCATTGCCAGAACAGTCCTATTAAAAAAAAAAACAAACCTACCCTGGAAAAAATCATCACCAGCATTACCAGCTCTCTGTCCGTTTAACTGATGAAATTATAGTATTTTCATGCTGATGAACTGAAGACGACAGGGAAGTTGAACACATTCAGAGACCTTAAGTGAACTAGGATGTTCTCCAAGGTTTTCAGAGCACAAAAAATTGGGCTTGCCCATTTGCAGCAGAGACACTAACTGCTTTTTATGATAGAGAAAGCTGTAGTGAGGCAGTTTTATTCCTTAAAGATGTAAACACAAAAAGTATTTAAAAGCTTCAGATTCAATTATATTATACTGCATGATATTTTATGTATGTGTGTATACACACATATAAAAATAAATCCTGGAAACGTAGCTACCTGTAAAATGATGACAGGCAGAAGTTAATAAAAATGTATAAACCCAGTAATAAACAGTTCTCAATACCAAACACAGACAGTAGATGCAAATGCCAACACAAGGCATTTAACAGGCATCTGAAGGCACAAGATCAATGCTTCTCAACTTACAGGGAGGTCCTCCCAACTACTTAAAAGGATGAGATGCATATGAATTTTCTTCAGAATGACGGATGCATAGGTATGGGCAAGCTGAACTAACTCTTACAGTCTTAAATAAATAGCTGGGAAGCACACAGATTTACTTAGCACAACTTCCAGTCTGTTTTTCCCACCCCAAGGAACATCATCTTTTAATGGCCCTGAGAGGATTTCCAAAAATGTCTCTACTTGCAAGCCCAAACTCCAGCAGAAAATGGCAATGACATTCACTCAAATTTTGGTAAAGGCAGCGTGAGCACGAACATTTTGTGGTAAAAATCTGCGCATCAGAATAGCGCAGAGTTTTGTTAAGTTCAGTACTTCCTGCAAAGTTCAGTTTAAGCAGACGCTAGAGGCTTTCCTAAAGGCAGATACAGCGTCTCTTGAAGTCTTTCAAAAGTTCTTGCAAATACAGATTGTAACATTCACTTACAGCGATATCCAGAAGCAAGCAGTTGTTCCATCATTTTACAGTTGGTAACTATAGAAAGCAAGTCAAATGTAAGCACGATCAGGAACACAGTACAATGGGGCCCACAGACGCAAAGGAAGTTTGCAGATCTCTGGCTACAAATAACCCGTTTTACACAAACAGTTGTTGTTCTCACAATTATGAATAATGTTAATTTCAACTGTTGGACAGAATAAAAAAAATAACAACATTGAAAGAGGTAATTTTGCTTAACTTACACATTCAAAACACTACAAAAAGAGACTCTTAAAAAAAGAAAAATCTCTTGACTTTGTTCTTCTGCTTCCCAAGCAAACACAACAAATCCAGTGGGCATTACCTTATCAACATCCAAGCACGCAAACGATGGATCTGGGCAATATTAATCTGATTTGCCATCTGTTTCAATAAACTATGCATTTTCACCTGTCGAGACAGATGGCACTTTGACAAAGCCATTTAAAAATACTATACGAAAGAAACGCTGAAAGATGCTGAGGCAATCACCTACTGCAATAAATGGCACGAATCCAACAGTGGCAGTCATGCATATGAAATAACCGGGCCTCTGTGCAACTGCTGTCTCCAGAAAAGACTGTGCAGTTTGTCATTTAAATATGCAGACAGGTAAATTAATGCAAAGGAAAAAATTAAGTGAAATATGCCTCTAGGATAGAAAAGAAGCCTGCCCATCACATCGAGGTTTTACAACTAAAGAAAGCATTTTATGTTCTTTGGGTTTTTTAAAACAGATCTCTATGCTAGTAGTTAAAATTCAGTAACGTAGATGATTACTTATGGGAGAAACCCAGTCCTCACCTATCCAAAGATTCTGCTGCTGACTTACAGGCTAGATACCCAATACAAGCCCCTGTCGGAGAAACGAGACACAGCAGTAAGACTCATCTGCACACAACTCATTTCACAGTGCACTTTAAAGCCATCAGGTAAAATTAAGGGCAATATTATCACTAAGAATAATTTAAAAGGATTAGGGAAAACCCCTGTAGAATAAACTAACATAGCACTGGATAACTATTTTCTTACTTTCATATTACATAAATAGTAAGAATAATTAAAAAAATAACAATTTTACTTCGTTCTCTCTCTAACTGAAAGGTTAATCACTAGTCTCTGCTCTCTCAAACTGCCTGCGCTGAATCTTTTATATTTTCACAGTCCTGGATCACCAGGCAACGTGGAGCATCCAGGAATACATGCAAAACATACTTGATACTCTTAACACAACTACACGGACTATGATGAAGCAAATCAGACTTATACAGTCAGTTATTTCCATCATAATAATAATTCCTAACACACACCTGAAAGAAACATTGTGCACACAAACAGAAAACAACCCCCCAGCTCCAACTATTTTTTTCTGCTTGCCATCAAGGTAACTCATCATCTAAAAAAATTCTGAAGATCATTAAGCTCTTTAAAAACTTAACTAGAAAAATGTAAAGCAGAACACATTTTTTTTCCTGTGATAACAAACAAGATATTCCAGATTTTAGAAGACTCGTCTCATGCTTGATTCAATTCAGTGCCAAAGAAAGACTGAACTGCACTGGAGCTGCTTCGGCAGCTTCGAGTCTCCTGCAGTTGCTAATGAAGAGAAAAATTGGTGTACAAGCCCCCTTGTTGACTGAGACCCAAGACAAGAGCACAGGGAGACAAACATAGCAAGGGTATAGGTGACCCAAAGAAAGAAAATTTGTAAGAGAGGACTGTGCAGACAACAGAGTTCATTCCTGTGTTTTTATGGAGGAGCAGAAGTAGCACCTGCTATGAATGCACAGCATGCAACAGCACGGGAACGAAAAGGAATATATTTGACTACAAAGCATACATCTTACATTTCCAGCATGAGAAGAGC